CCTATTTAAATGAATGGTTGTGCTCAGTGGCGCTTTGTGACGGCATGGGGGCTGAAAGATTAGCGGAAGTCGCCTGGAACTCGCAAAGATCTATGGGAAACTCGCCTGTATTTGGGCATCGTCTGGTCCTCCCGGTTCTGCGCAGTGGATGATCTCCCATAATGCGTTGCGCCAAACACGCAAGTGTGGGTCTCACACCGGGTCTCACGCACGTGCACAGAGGGGCTCGGCCACAATCAGAGCAGTTCATCAGAGCGGGAGTTAGAGCGAGAGCCAGACGAGCAGAGTTTGTGGCACTAAAATGTGGATTTAAAGAAAACCAAAGGATTTAAGAAGAAAAAAAGTTCAGGATGACAAGGGACACTAAAATCCCCACAAAATCCGACCTTTATTAAAGCTAGCAGTGCTTCCGGCTAATGCTATGTCGATAAACACGTCCACGGGGAAGCTTTATTTAAGTGGGCTTGACAAAAGGACATAAACACCGCCACAAACAAGTTTTATTCAAGACAAAACTTATGAAGATATTTGAAGACAATTTTGATAAATGCTTTGCTTCCCTATTTTTCCCGAACCACGGCCGCAAGTGCGCGGAACTCATGTTAACAACCGTTGTAAACAATCACTTGCCTTGGACCTTGCCAGTGAACATGTAACACCTGTCTATGGTACGTACCTGCATTATACTTTACTGGTGAGTTATGAACACGACTGTTATGAAAAAATAACAGGCATGCATATGTTAGATCTGCCACAGATGTTTGTTTGTAACCTTGTTATCTGCCATGATTAAACTCAAGTTTGTCACAAAAAGCTAAGCTAATGCTAGGAAGCTATTTTAGTCCATTCATATCGTGTTTGATCAAGAAAAATAGTTCTTTTTTATCTTTAGGGAGAAACAATCCCACAGATTGTGTGATCCTGTGTGATCCCGGTTCCTAAAATAGCGCACGCCAAGGAACCGGCTCACTACAGACCAGTCGCACTGACCTCCCACCTGATGAAGACCATGGAGCGGCTCATCCTCACCATCTCCGTGGTCAGCCCCACCCTGGACCTGCTGCAGTTCACCTACAGGCCCAACATCGGAGTAGAAGATGCTGTCATCTACTTACTCCTGCCGGGAGCGCTGTGAGGGTCATGTTTTTTGACCTCTCCAGTGCTTTCAACACCATCAAACCGACACTGCTGCGGGGGAAGATGGAGGACACAGGAGTGGACAGTCACCTCACTTCATGGACCATCGACTACCTCTCTGACAGATCACAGTACGTGCAGCTGCGCAGCTGTGAGTCTGAGGTGGTAGTCTGCAGTACTGGGGCCCCTCAGGGCCTCTCACCGTTTCTCTTCACCATCTACACTTTAGACTTCACATACAACACACACAGCTGCCACCTGCATAAGTTCTCAGACGACTCCGCCATCGTGGAATGTGTGTCTGAGGGGAAATAACTGGAATACCAGTCGGTTATCACAGACTTTGTCGACTGGCAACCAATTGTGCTTGAACACCAGTAAGAACAAAGAGATGGTAGTCGACTTCAGGAGAAAACCACTTTCCCACACGCAGCTGAACATCCAGGGGGAAGACATTGAGCTGGTGGACAGCTTCAAATACCTGGGTGTTCACATTGACAATAAACTGGACTGGTCCCGTAACACCAACACCTTGTACAAGAAGGGCCATAGCCGCCTCCACCTTCTGAGGAGGCTGAGGTCCTTTGGAGTGACCTGGCCTCTGCTCAGGACCTTTTATGACTTTTGTAGCGTCTGCCATATACTACGCTGCCGTGTGCTGGGACCCTGGCAGCACAGAGCGAAACAGGAGTAGACTCAACAAGCTGGTCAGGAGGGCCAGCTCCACTCTGGGCACCTTCAGCGCAAGAACGAGTGCTACCGCAGGGCCTTCATCCCTACTGCTGTCAGACTGTACAATGAGTCACTTTAAGTCACTTGCACTAGGACAAAAAAAACCTGCACTACTATTTCCACTGTTTCTTTGATTGCCACTTTTAATTGCCACATTTTGTTTGATATAATATATCCTGCATTACATGTTTGCACATTTCTTTCTTTTTGCACATTCTTAAGTGATTCTATCCATTCCAGATGTGACATGTAGGTTGCTCCTGTGTGAGATCAATAAAGTCTATCTTATCTTAATAAATATTAAAGCTACACAGAGGAAACAAACGTTTCCATGGAGACAGCAGCTATAGTATGCTAACCATAGTGATAAAACCTGTTTTATGTATTGATATAAGATTGTATTTGATTTAAAAAAATACAAATACAATCCAAGACTGGGAATAATGTATATACACATAGTGTCTAAAGCAGACTTGGAGATTCTTATCCACGCATTTGTCTCCAGTCAATTAGACTACTGCAATGGCTTGTTCACAGGTCTCTCTAAACAAGCGGTAAAACAGCTGCAGTACATCCAAAATGCTGCAGCTCGAGTCCTGACTAGAACCAGGAAGTATGACCACATTAGTCCAGCCCTCAGGTCTCTGCACTGGCTTCCTGTTCCTCAGATAAATAGACTTTAAAGCAGCTTTACTTGTGTACAAGTTTCTCCATGGCCTCGCACCGGGGTACATCCGCAACATGTTGGTGCCATATGAACCAACTAGGGCTCTGAGGAGCACAGGGACTGGACTTCTGCTAGTGCCAAGAGTCGGAACTAGACATGGGGAGGCTGCGTTTCAGATTCAGGCAGTTAGAGTCTGGAACCGTCTTCCCGAGAATGTGAGACAGGCGTCTACTCTGGCAGTTTTAAAAACTGGACTGAAAACAGTTCTTTATAGCTGTGCATACAAGTGAATGGTTTTACATTTGTTTTTATCTTTAATCTTTTTAATGCACTATGACTATTTATGATTTTAATCCCATGTGTGATTTTAATGTTTTACAGTTTTTAACTACTTGTGTGATTTTATTTTTTATGTTTTTAATTATGTCTTGTGCTCTTAATCTGTCTTTTTCTGTTTACTTAAATTCTAATGTTTGATGATTTATGCATGATGTTATATGGGTTGTGAGGCGCTTTGCGTTGCCTTGTGTAGGAAAGGCGCTCTACAAATAAACGTTGATTGATTGATTGATCTATTTACATTTACTGTATAAATTAGACCTATATGAAATGATTGAATCAACCTAGGATTATTATAAAGAACTTTTCATACAGTAGTTTGATAAATATACGTAAGGTGTAAGCACATTATATAGATGTTTCTTTTGTGTTTAATAAAAGACATTTGCAGATGACAAAGTCCCACTCCCATAAAGACAGCTTTAAAGAGGTTAGCCATGCATCTAAGTTGATTATATTGTGTGTATATTTCTATATGTCACATCATGGACATCATGTCTGCCCCTGTGTTCCGGTCTCCCGCAACATGGCGTGCTTTCAAAAGCTGCAGAAGCATTGCAGCCCAGAGCCGACTGACTGCTGCCAGACGATGGAGGGCGGGGGACCTCCTGCCTCTCTGTCTGTTCAGATACGCCACCGCTGTGGTGTTGTACGAGCGCACCATCACATGCCTCCCCTCCAACTGTGGGGCAAAGTGTAGCAGCGCCCTGCGCACTGCCTCCAACTCCAGCAGATTGATGTGGTGAGTTGGGTCTGGCCAGGAGCCTCCCACAGAGCTCTGGCCCAGAACCCCACCTCACCCCTCTAGAGAGGCGACCAGGGGTAGCCTCCCCCCGTCCCGTGAGGGGTGAAGCCTGAGGCGGGAGAGCCAACTCTGATACCCTCTCATGTGAAGGAGACCCAGCCGAACCAGCGCTTGGGCCGCCGCCATCCTCCCCAGGAGCGAACTGAGGCTCCGCGCGGGGACTCCGGGGTAGTCAACGCCTCCCTGGCCAGGCGGGTGAAGTTCCCTTGCCTGTCCTCGGACAATGCAGCTCGGAATCCCACCGAGTCCAGCTGCATCCCAAGATACATCATACGCTGATCAGGCTATAGCCTGCTCTTCTCCCTGTTCACCACAAAGCCCAGATGTTGTATGTGGGACAGGACCCAGCGCGTGTGACTCATGGCCACCTCCTTGGAAGGAGCCAGAATTAACCAATCGTCTAAGTAATCGTCTCGACGCACTTGGAGAAGGTGCGGGGAGCCAGCGCGTCCCCGAATGGGAGACGGCAATACCCGTAGCACCTTCCCCCCACTGCAAAGCGCAGAAACAGCCTGTGTTCTGCCGCAATCACTACATGGACGTAAGCATCCGTCAGATCAATGGAAGACATCCAGTCGCCGGTTCTGACGCATTCCAGCAGCTGTTTGTGATGAGCCTGCAGAACAGATGCTTGGAATTCTACGTCATGGTGCTACACCCCCTAGGGCTACGTCAGGGGTAGCCCTAAGGGGCTACGCACTCATTTGTAGAACTAGGTTACATTAGGTAACTAACCGTTTAGTGGAGAGCATGCGGAACAGACGCTTGGAAATGCACTCGTTTAACGTGCGCAGGTCCAAGATGGGGCGCACTCCCCCTGTCTTCTTCGGGACCAAGAAGTATGCGGGTATCGCCCCCTGGAGGCGTCTCGCGAGTCCACTTCGGCCACAGCGCCTCGTCTCAGTAGGGAGGCTATCTCCAACTGGAGCGCCTCCTCTGATCCCCGCACAGGGAGTGTACCGCTCGAACGCCCTGGACCAGCATTGGCCTAGTGCGAGCGGCAGAGCGTAACAACTGCGCAAGGTTCTCTCTAACCCTGCACTTGTGAGCAGTCCCTCCTCCGTCCAGATGTGATCGTTAGACTCGAAGTACTCCTCTCACGAGCCCCGCCCTCTCCTGGTGCTCCCAGAGTAGAAAGAGGGGGGGGGGGGCATGCAACCCCCCTGTGATATGCTGTGTGAGACAGAGAAAGTCCCTGGCCTCTCACTCTCAGCGGAGAGGAAGCACTGGTTGCTATGGGAACTGGTTGCCATGGCAACGGGTCCAGTACTTTGGACCAATCGCTGTGAGGTCCTCATCTGTTTTCCCGCCTCAAACCTTTCAGGGAATGAGGTGCTGGTTGCCAGGGAGCACTGGTTTCCATGGTAACGGGGCCAGACTTCTGGACCAATTGCCGTGTGTCCCTCGACTGGTCTTTCCCGCTCCCTTCTTCTCAGAGGGGGCGGGGCGCTGGTTGCCCTGGTAGCGGGACCTGACCAGGTCTCTCGTCTGAGCCCACGTTGTGTGAGATTCAAGGTCCTAGACCCGTGAATAATGTCATAATGAACACAAGCAGTATCTCTGTAGGTCTGTCGTCTGCGCCCACGTGACCCCAGGCTCAGAGCAAGGTGCTGCGCTGTGTGTGAGTCCTAGACCTCTCCCAGTGCAGACAACTTGCTTAAGCAAACAAGCAGTCTCACACACACCAATTACGGGTTGTTTCTCTTTTATTATCTGCTTTCCCGTCCGCCCCTACTGTAAAGGGGAGATGTAGGCAATGCAGCTCCCGAGCACCTCCACAGGTCTGCTCCGGCCCTCGGGGTCTCGCTGGAAGAGAGAGGGTCTGGAGCAGGGGTCACCAACCTTTTTGAAACCAAGAGCTACTTCTTGGGTACTGATTAATGCGAAGGGCTACCAGTTTGTTACACACTTAAATAAATTTCCAGATATGGCCAATTTGCTCAATTTACCTTTAACTTTTTACTAATAATTAATGATATTTATTTTGTGGAAAAACTTTTATATTTTCTCTAAGTGCACATTTTTCAAATTTAACAAATCACTTCTAAGACAGTCCCATTTAATCGCAATTAATCGCATTTTAATCGCATATAAATATTTGACCTGAGAACAGTGAGAAGTAATTTTTTTCACATGGATTTTTAGTTTACCATTGAATAATGACTGAATACATGAGGCTTAAGCAACACATGTTATTATGGAGTTTAAGGGATAACTTCTAAACATTTCTGTCATTGCCTCCACACTCTGACGACAACATATGCTCCTCCTCCTCCTCCTCACACTGACGACAACATACTCTTTTTAAGCCCAAAATCCACTGCATACGCTGTGAGCACTAAAGCTGGGCATGCGCTGTTTGCTAAAGCTTTTATAATACGTTTTTGATGTGTGCATTCGGAGTAAACATCAGCATTAGCAGCTCACACACCTGTGTCTCGCTCCTCCTTCTCCTCCTCCTCCTCCTCCGCTCACACAGGAGTCACTGCTCCTCCTCCTCACACACAGAGTCCATCGCTCCATACACAGCGCTCATTCCCGTCTAATTTACTCGAATTTAAAGTTGGTCTCTGCTTGTAATAATGTACTTTTGAACAAGAAAAGTCACGGAGCTCCGGTTGGTGCGTCAGTTCAATTGGTCCGTCTGAAACTTATTCAGTGAGGAACGTTCCGCGGTGCAAAAATACATACGATTAAAATGCGTAATTTTTTTAACGCGCTTTTTTGTGTGTAATTAATTAATCTTTATTAACTTGTTAAAGTCCCGGCTCTAGTTTATATGCCATTTGTAAGTTGCATGTAAGTATGATTTAAACAAGAATAGCACTGGTAAGTGCTGCCATTTGAGCTATTTTTAGAACAGGCCAGCGGGCGACTCATCTGGTCCTTGCGGGCGACCTGGTGCCCGCGGGCACCGCGTTGGTGACCCCTGGTCTGGAGAGTAGCGATCCGCGAAAGAGCAGAGCGCTTCTGGGACTGAGACTGCTCTCTGGTCTGGTTGAGGTTCTGGTTCAAGCCCGTTGACCAGCCCCCCCAGTCAGATCCTCTCCGCTGAGTGCCTGGCCCGCGGAGAGAGACTCATTCAGAGTGCCCACTGATTAAAGCCCTGCTGCTCTGACAACGCAACCCCTGAACCGCGTTGGCATCGCACCCCTCCAGCACGGGCATAGACCTCCTCTCCCGCTCTGAGGGAGAGGGCGGTCTGTTGCCTGGTCCCATGGAGGGCGCTGGGAGCATAGTCAGCCCCACCGCGTCTTCCGCGTCAGGGACTCCGCTGGACCAAGACCAGTCTTGGGCCGTACCATACGGGCCAAACACGTGTGGCGTAGTGAACACCGGGTTCATACGTGGCACCGTGTTAGCTGCAGCCACTCCTTCCCTGCTCCGAGCCATCTCTGTCTCTGCCTGAGAGGGCTGCGGTGGGAGGATTTCCCAGCGCCTGGCAGCTGCAGACGGAGGGGAAAAAGGCTGCACGGGAAAAGCGGTCTCGAGGGTGAAGAGGGAGAGACCTCCGTGCTCTGTCTCCACGCCATTCTCCCCAGACACGCGGGAATCAGGTCAAGCGGGGCATACCGCACTCCCTTCCCTGAAGTCCGGGCAGCCTTCGAGGCACTGGTGCGTGCATCGCGGCACTCGGGGGAGAGAGTGCCGTTATCTGGGCGGTGCCTCCGTGAAGGGTCAGTCAGCCCAGGCAGGGGAAGCAGAAGAAGCATAGGGGGTGCTCGTACCTATCTCGTCCAACGCCGGAGGGCGAAGGGAATTCGGACGAGCAGAGAAGGCAGCGACATCTCGATTCTCCATTTTTTTAAAGTAGATCTCCTGGCGCCAGAGTTCAAAGCGGCAGGTTCAGGCCTGAGCGGGGTTATTTATAGGGGGAGCTGGCTCGTGATTGGAGCATTTGATCTGAGATCTCTCTGGCAGGGGCTGGGTGCCTCAAGGAGTCACCCACAGCGTGGCCTAAGGGGCATAGCACCATGAAGTAGAACACATAATATGGGCACAAAATAAATCACGTCTGTATACATTTTTTACCTTTAGTCTTCTGCTGCTTAAACAAATTAGACTTCCCCCATTCTTACTTAGGCTCTTTCACTCCGTAAATGTCCATGGAAAAAGAATATCCACTTGCATTTTCCAAAGTATAATCCATTCTGCAGAAATAATCCAAAAATGTGCGTTCATCTTTTGCAGAAAAAAAACGTTCTGAAAGAGGTACAGATTGTTCTTTCACAGTTTGCCAAGTTTCAGCTTTGTCTATCCCCAAAGACAGGGTATGCTCGTGTTCCCCAACTCGTTAGCTACAAAATGAGAGCTTCCCTGAAGAGATACGAGCATGTGTCCGTTTGCTATACCCTTGTGAATAAGACAAGCAGCATGCTTTTGCGCAGGGTCTAGGGGCGTGTTCTTTTGCTGAATGATTGACATGTATAAGTAGCTTTCTAGCAATGGGTGGGACTTGGGGGAACTCCGTTTAATTCTCACAGTACAAGCGTGCGTAAAGCAGGGAGATAGACCCTGTTTCGGGGCTGCGCATATTTTATATGCATTTACACTAATAAAAAATTTATTTTGAAAAAAAAAAAAAAAAAAAAAAGAAATCACAGATTAGTAACAGATTAGTAACTTATAAGTACCAGAACCGAATGGCACTACTTGATGAAAAAATAAACTGCATAAAAACTATAAAACTTAGAAGTCTGAAACTTTAGACAGTTGCTGTCAACAACACAATGACCATATAGGGATTGAATATTGTGATCTTACAATGAAGTATGCCTTTGTTAGGGCATTTATACAATGAAAATTTTAGGCGAGGCTAAAAAAGTTCCCCAAACTTCAAAGGATGCAGAGTGAAATAAGAATGAGATACATTATTTTATTATATATTTACATAAACTAGAAGGCTCTAGCTTTAAAATGTTAGATGTATTTTTAAATATGCAAAGACTTTTGGGTATGCCCAACTTTTGTGCACGAGCCAAAATGATGCAGGAGTTTAAAAGGTTATGTCTTTGTAATTCCTGAAGAAATCAACATAAAACAAAAGCTGTCAAAAAGTGCTACATCTAGTTTGTCAGCACATATTACATATGGTCTCTCTCTCTGGTCTCTCTCTCTGGTCTCTCTCTCTGGTCTCTCTCTCTGGTCTCTCTCTCTGGTCTCTCTCTCTGGTCTCTCTCTCTGGTCTCTCTCTCTGGTCTCTCTCTCTGGTCTCTCTCTCTGGTCTCTCTCCCTGGTCTCTCTCCCTGGTCTCTCTCCCTAGTCTCTCTCCCTAGTCTCTCTCCCTAGTCTCTCTCTCCAGTCTCTAGTGAAAATGGCCGCAGCCTGATGGTGGAAACCATACAAAGAACCTCAAAACAAACGCATTACCTCAAATGTGATTCTCCATTTCTACTGCATGACTGGGCTCCTTTGTTTATCCAGGATTGCGTCTTCTCAAACATGAAATTCCACAGTAAAACATAAACAAACAAAAATAATACATCATGTTTAAAGCTGGGATACCTAACTTTGTTCCAACAAAAAGGAAGTGTCTTGCAAAAGAAAAAATATAGTTAAAATATCACACCACAACCCATTTTCTTTATCTGAGTGAGGGTGGTCACTTTTAACTTTTCTGTCTGAAAAAGCTGATCTAGGGATGTGACAGTGGCCAAAAACAAATGATGTGAAAACAACCGTTAAAGGAAAACTGTTTTAGATAAGCTTGTGGGTGGATGGATTGTATCTATCTTTTTGCCTTTTCCAAGTATTTTCATTACTGCATTTCTGCAGTGATAAAACTCAATCCATGGTGAAACAGGTGGTGACGTAATGTTCCTGAATAAACACTGCGGCTGCTCTTGTAAAAATAGCTCTAATTGCAGCTTACCGCCTGTGCAGTGCTCCGCACCGCCGTTCAGTGAGGAAGCATGCGCAATTATCCCAGAGATGCGTCCTTCCCTGTACATTCTACCTCCTTCCCCTCTCTCATCTCCTCAGCTCATTCTGACACTGAAGTCTGTTGAAAGCGCCTCATGCTCTCAGCGAGTCTCTGCTACTCACCTCGCTCGGGCTTCGCTGGTGTGGTTTGCGTTCCACGCGCACTCCCAGCCCCTCCCCCTCATGGCGCACGCTCAGGGAAAGCCCTCGCATACGCACTCTGTGAGACTAATGACTTGATTAAGTCAGAGGCGCACTGCAATAACAGCATGGAAACAAGTGAAAGAAAGAGCAAATGTGATGAGTTGTGGGGTTGAGGAACTGGTGCGAAATTTCAAGACATCAGCAAAGAAGCTAAAGCTGGGGTATCTAACTTTCAAGCCACAACAATAGAATTGCGCAATGACATTTGTGTCTCTAGTTACTGGCCCTAAAACAGCTGCTTCTATCACTGGTTTTCACATCATGTGTTTTCAGCCTCTGACACATCTTTAGATCAGCTTTTTTGGACAGAAAAGTGAAAAAGAGAGGGCCGCCCAAAGAGTCCAATAGGGAACATGTTTCACGATTTTCCAACATGCTGAAGACAGCATGTTGTGGTATGATCTGATCACAACATTTTGCTTTTGCAAGAAACAAATTCAGCCAAAGAACTTTCAAAGAGGGACAAAGACAAGTGCTAATGTTTGTGGTCAGATCTCAAAAAGCCGTCAGTTACACAAGCTCTGTCAGAGGAATGAGCCAAAATTACAGTCAATAATTTCTCGCTTGGAATGACAGAAGAACACAACAACTATATATCACAGTTAGGGCTGCAACAATTGGTCGACGTTGTTGACAAAAATCGATAATAGAGATAGTCAATGAATTCCATTGTCTACCTATGTGGCCAGATGTGTTTTCCAACAGAGTGAGGCATCCTCCGTCTCAAAATCTCTGCCAAGAGTCCCACATGCGCAAGAGCGTCTATGTCGAGCGTAAACGTAAATGGCGGCAATCAACATTTCAGCTATGCGAAACAAAACTTCTAAAGTTTGGGAGCATTTTAGTCTGGATATGGCAAATAATAAGAGTACTTGCAAGGTTTGCAAAGCAGACCTTGCGTATCATGGCAGCTTCTCTGTGATGCACATGCAACAATTGAAGAGAGAGCATAATGGGCATTTGAACAAAACGGAGTCTGACTCTCCTCGGTAAGATTCAAGTAACATTCAAGCCAATACATTTTGTTTTTAAAGTTATGCCTGACTGTGCCTGACAAACCTATAGTTTTTTTTTGCATTCAAAATTAAATTGCAAAAAAGTTGTTTCAGTAGAATTTTTTTTTAATTCATTTTTGTATTTCATTTTTATAAAAGAAATTTGCCTGTTTTTCAAAATTGAGAAATGTTTATTTATTTATGGTTGTAAGTCTATGACCAAGCACTGTGTCAAATTTACTTTTTGTATGAACCAGCAGCAAAGTAGAATAAAAGATGCATTTTTCATTGAAGTACCCATCTTTCTTGTGTTTGTTATCATTTGCCACATAATAAATGCAACTTCGTGCTTAATTTAAGAAAAAAACAAAATTATTCGATTAGTCATCCAATAGACTACGTACACGTTAGCATATGCTACTTCCAGTAGGAGAACTCCTGTGCGATGCTCCGTTTCCGGTTACATTGGCACAGTGTGGGAGTCTCGGTTCCAGGTCTGGTTTGGTCTGTCAAATGGCTCAAGCAAACACGGATTTACATTTTTCTAGATGTTTTGGGACTCTTCGGAATATACAGTGCCTTGCGAAAGTATTCGAACCTTTCAACATTTTGCCACATTTCAGGCTTCAAACATAAAGATATAAAATTTAAATTTTTTGTCATGAATCAACAACAATTGGGACACAATCGTGAAGTGGAACGAAATTTATTGGATAATTTAAACTTTATAACAAATAAAAAACTGAAAAGTGGGGCGTGCAATATTATTTGGCCGCTTTACCTTCAGTGCAGCAAACTCACTCCAGAAGTTCAGTGAGGATCTTTGAATGATCCAATGTTGTCCTAAATGACTGATGATAAATAGAATGCACCTGTGTGTAATCAAGTCTCCGTATAAATGCACCTGCTCTTTGATAGTCTCAGGGTTCTGTTTAAAGCGCAGAGAGAACCATGAAGACAAAGGAACACACCAGGCAGGTCCAAGATACTGTTGTATCAATAAACAAATACATATCAATCAATCAACACCATTAAACGTTAATCGGACAATACAGTATACATATACATCCTTAACACACATGCACGGACGATTTCAGAATTTGCTGTCAACGTTTTCATGACAAAAATACTGTTTTAAAGTGACAAAAAGGGATTGCGAAAAACCCGGAAGTTACCATGAAACAGCTAGCTAGCTTAGCTGTTACCTGCCTAGCACGTCCCGGTGAAACCTTTGGGCGCCAACTATTTTATTTGCAGTCATTAAATACATTTCAAATTATAAGGGCTGTCTAATATTTGTTTGAATATATATATATTTTTAATTTTAGAATTATATTCGAATCGCCTGGTGTTAAGCAGCGCTGTGGAGGCTAGAGGACGCAGGCTGTTCGCTGCTCGTTCTGTGAGTGGAGGAGAACGAGCGTCCCGCTAAGACTCTACTCAGCACTTTTCACTGCCTGAATTTCATACACAGTGGAATCAATGACCCCAAGTTTTCAATTAAATTATGTATTATGATACAACTTGTATGTAGTAAAAAGCATTTTTATGAACTACTAATCGGGTATAGCTTCTTTAAACTACCTCCTATAGCTCTGTGCTGTTTACATCCTGTACCTGTGTTAAACAACTTCCTGTAGCCCTGTGCTATTTTGTTTTGTAACAATGACAATAAATGATTGAATCTTGAGAGGTGGTGGTCAGGGCAGAGTGCTTCAGGTCCATGTGGAATATGATTGTAGAGGGAGCCGTATGAAATGGTTGTGTGTAATGACATTTTAATATTTATTATATTAGTTGTACTTTAAATGGTATGATAATTAATTCATGTATGTATTAATTATTATTGTTGCAAACTGAGTTACACTGCTATAAATATAGATTATATTTTTTACATATACACACACGTATATATACGCTGCAATCTGGATCATTAGGTAAGCTGTGGAAACTTAGCATTTTGTTTACGCTACCTCCAGCAGTGCAAAAGGGGGCTTAGCGCTGTAATTACGAACGTGTGCTTTTTGAAAAGTAAAGCCATCATTTCGATTTCAAATCCTGCGTTTTCTGAGTCCATCCTCAGTAGTAAATAACGCTACCAGAAACAAATAAGCGGGCATCCGGTCTCAAACCCGGAAGTTAGCATTTTCTAGTGCACGGGGTCTATCGTTTCAATAGTCGGTGACTAGTCGACTATTAAAATAGTCGTTAGTTGCAGTCCTAATCACAGTACATGTTGCTTGTTCACTTTGCAACAATAGATTTTTGCCTAATGGAAGCAAATACTTCTATCTTGTCACACACACAGACACACACATTTTAAGCCGTGTGGAAGCAAAGTTAAAAATAAACCAGAGTTAGCATTAGCATTGACAGTGATCCGCTGTGGATCACAGGAGCTAATTGGTGCTAATAAAGGAACAGTGTGAGACAGGGTGTAAGTGTGAGGGTGGGTGAGCATTTGTGTATGTATGTGCGTAATACCGCTATGGCAAATTTACAGATTTTGGGCCTAAACATTTGAGTATTTTTTCACACACTTGGGCCTTCCCCCTTAAAAGGGGAAGTACATAAAAATCTGGCCAAAAATGGTACTGCAATCACAGTCAACATTTTGTAGTCCTCTCCCACTCTCCCTGACTCAGGTTGACAGATACACACCAAATCCAACAGCAAACACAAGGAATTATTGTATCAAATTTGTCTGTCTCCATTCACATTGCCATGATAGCCGCGCTAATGTTGGAACATATTTCTTCAGCGTATCAGCATCAGGACACCTAACTGTCAATGAAGAATCAGACGAAAAGCTTTTATCCGCCTTCAAGTGTCTTAATTTTTCAAAGCCATCCCGATATAAATCTTCATATAGGTCTTTGTTTTGTCATGAAGGATTTGAGAATCACAACAAGACCTTTTTAATTCTGCGGCCACATTATTTTACCAGTGAGATTAGCTAGCCGCGGGGAGTTCTGGCAACCCGAATGACAAACTTTCTTACTAGTGAAACGGTGGAGGGTGGGATATCAAAATTAAAAAAAGAACAATATTTACGGGCTGTAAAACTAATTTTGAAATTCAAAAATCTCGGCTGAACTCCTGTTATCAGTTAAAGAAGTAGTTGAAAAGAGCATGGTGTATTAATGCCTTTTGACTTATTAGGGCCATTTAATGATGACTTGACTTTAACACACATCAGTTCATAGGATCAATGTTTTGAACAAATCAGACTACATCATGCTGCCTGATCTAAAGATACAAAGTACACAAAATTAGAGATAAAAGCAAACCGATAAAAGGCCAGGAACTAATGACATGGGTTTTATTACAGATTTCCATAGTTTGTGGTTTTAAAGTTATGTACCCCGGCTTTAATCTCTGTGTGAATGTTATGTAAAAGTAGTGAAGCTCTGGGGCGCAGGTGATTGGGAATGCGTGCAGACATAAAGAACAGTGTGATGTTTCCAGAAGCTAATGCGCTGTGACCGTCTCCGCTAAAGCTAAGGGCAAAGACGGCTTTCACTTCATCCACTGCAAAAAAACATGATGTGGTCTAAATGCATAGTTTAAGTTGTAAGTATGTAAGTATTCATTATTTATATAGCACATTTCACAGCACTGATCAGGCTGCAGTTTGTGAGGAAGAACACCTGTGGAAACACCACTTAATCAGAGAACTACTTTTATATTTTGTGTTTTCTGCAGGCTGACTCCTCCCTGCACTTGTTTCTATGGTAACTGCTCTTTTATTAGCTTAAGATGGCGCCCCCATGTGTCCACACTCCACCTCTGTCCTTCACTGCTTTTCCTTAGTCCAATAATAAATCCCGCTGTAAAATTTCCACTCGTCAAGTTTTCCAGAGCTGCACTGGAGGAGGTCAGGGAATGCCATCTGTATGCGACACAAAATGGTCATCATTTAATTACTACATTCATAATCTCAATATTAAGTCATAAACGAGATCCTAAACAGTGAAACATGACACACTGAGCCAAAGCAGTTGGCTCAGAGATGGAACAAACAGAGTTTCCGCTCTCACG